AGGGGGCACCTGGGTGGCTCAGATGGTTAAGCATCTGCCTTCAGCTCAGGTCATGATCCCAGGGTCCTGGGATCGAGCCCCACATCGGGCTCCTGGGTAAGTGGGGAGCCTGCTTCTCCCTCTCCCTCTGCTTCTCCCCCTGCTCATGCTCTGTGTCTCAAATGAATAAATAAAATCTTTAAAAAAAAAAAAAAAGATCGTTATCGGGAATATATGTGGCCATTTGAAATTCAACAAGTTATTATTAAGAATTGGAGAGATAGACACTTTTTCAAATAATAGAAAGTCCTTGATTTGATTTATTACAAAAGCTTGGAAGGGGGAGAAATGAATTGAGAATTTACACGGATAAAATATAAGATTTCAGGGGCGCCTGGGTGGCTCAGTTGGTTAAGCGACTGCTTTCAGCTCAGGTCATGATCCTGGAGTCCTAGGGTCGAGTCCCGCATCTGACTCCCCGGTCGGCGGGGAGTCTGCTTCTCCCCCTGACCCTTCCCCCTCTCATGCTCTCTCTGTCTCATTCTTTCTCTCCCAAATAAATAAAATCTTAAAAAAAAAAAAAAGATTTCAAAGCATGAAAGAAGGGAAAACAAATAACAAAATTAAGATTTCAACAGGCTTAAGAAAATAGCAGAAAGAAAACTAAGAACAAAGGCATTCAGGAGAGTTCAAGTTCCTTAGAATGCCTATTTGTTTTTGCCAATACATATATAAAGAAACTTTGGAAGACCCTCCTAACAGTGGTTACCTGTTCAGGGAGACAGGAAGTGAGCAGATGAAGGAGAGGTGTAAGGGAGAGACTTTTTACTGAATATCTTCAATTGACTTTTTAACCATGCAGGTATACAACTTATTTTTATTTAATGTAAACAAACAAACAAACAAATAAATCCCCTAAATTCAATTATTTGCAAGCAACAGCTGAAATACAAGAAAGCCAAAGAAAGGAGACATTAGAACAAAGTACCAAGAGGCAAAGAAAATGTTATAGCACTGGGAGGTCTGAAGAAATCCAGAGAGAGGATAATCTAGACTGTTTTCAGGGACCAGCTGGGAGTGAAATGCAACATGGACAACATTGCTGAGGGCCTCAAGCTTATGATAGCTCAAACCAGCCCCAGCTGGTTCAAGGGTATCTTGAAAATATGACACACAGGTTTATGTCCCTGTGTCCCCGGAGAGTATGAAATCCACAATGGGATAAAACCAGAACTCTAGGGACGCCTGGGTGGCTCAGTCGGTTAAGCGTCTGCCTTCGGCTCAGGTCATGATTCCAGGGTCCTGGGATCGAGTCCCACATCGGGCTCCCTGCTCCGCGGGGAGCCTGCTTCTCCCTCTGCCTCTGTCTCTCATGAATAAAAAAAAAAACAAAAAAAAAAAACCCAGAACTCTACTGACAGGGAAGTAGTTTTCTTTCACCCTCTAAAACAGAGGGAAGGAAATGAGAAACCAATTTCAATGAGAACCATAAAAATGATTAATTAGGTAGAAAATGAGACCTATAAAGAAAAGATAAAGAAATCCACTTGTATCATTTAGCAAAAGAAATTCTGTTTTGCAAGAATTATTTAAGGCAGTTCATGAAAAACAAACGCAAGGGAATGTCCTCTTAAAGTCATTTCTACTCTCAATATTATTTGATTTGTGGGTTAATTCCCAGTGTGCTTCCCTGTAGAGGAGACTTTGCTAATTTGGCCTAGTGAAAGGCCTAGTTAGTAAGAAGTATTAGTAATGCCAGTGAAGATTTGCAAATAAACCTGAGCAAGCATATTATTAATCAACTAAAAAATCCCTTGCTTTGGGGTGCCTGGCTGGCATGTGACTCTTGATTTTGGGGTTGTAAGTTTGAGCCCCATGTTGGGTGTTGAGATTACTTAAAAATAAAATCTTTAAAAAAATCCCTTGATTAAAAGTACAATTAATACTTCTGAAGTGCTACTAATGTTCTTTCTTGTCACGAGTGTTAGTTTGTTTGCTTTATAATAATCATTAATCTATGCATTTATGTTGTATGAACTTTTCTGCATGGTGGTATGTTTCACAATTAAAAAAAAAAAAAAGATGAGCAAAAAAATACAATTAAAGTTATCCTTTCCGCAAACTATTTACCCTGTGGTGAGGCCAAAGGCTGAAGTCAGACTGTCTATCATGAAGAGCCAGTCCCCTAACAGAGCTCCACCAACATCTATCCTACCCAAGGAATGATACCTATCAAGGTTAGAGACCCACCCACTCTGAGGCCTCAGTCCCCCGATCCAGGGCCACTGAAATCTGAGGCGTTAGGAGAAAAGAGGCTATCTACAGGGCAGGACCAGGGGAAAAGGCATGCAAAGGGAAACTGGCTCTGACAACAAACAGCTCTATGTATTCTTCATATATTAAGTCAGGTTTAAGAAAGGTAGACTTACTTTGCATTTGAGTTGGAAAAATAAACAGTTAAAATAAAAGCAAAGAGGTTTTAGTAACCTGAAAGGTCAGGGTCCAAGGCAATCTTCTTACTGCCATAAGAGTACTTTCTGAAAAAGTTGTATCATTGGCCAACTCACCTAAATAGGCACAACCTAAACCCTGTGATTTGTCATTGCTTTGTACCTCTTCTAAGATCATGGACATAAGGGTAGGAAAGAGCAAGAAAACATTTCTAAAAATATTTCAAAATTTTACAACGAATGAAATTTTTTTCTAAAAATAGCCTAAGAGTCCATGTTTCCTTATTCACTAACCCAGAACGTTACAGCCTGCCTCCTCTTTCCCCTATTTACCCCACTCGGCAAAGGCCCAGATTACAAAGTTAGACTTTAAAAAGGGAAGAGTAAATGAGGAAATCAATGAAAATTTATGAAAACTACTCAGTTCCAGAACTTGATGTGTGAAAAAGTCCTTAGAAATTCTGTCCAACTTCTCAGTTCTAGATGAGAAAATTTAGGCCCAGAGAGGTGACATGTCTTGCTAACGGACATGAACTAGTTTTTACAAGTTTTTTCTTTATTTACAACTTTCTTTTCCTGTAATCTATCTGTGGTAGCTTGAACAATACACAAAAGAGAAAAGAGAAATACAGATAATAAACATGGTGAATTATGGTAGAGTTAGGAGTGTTTACTTCTAGTCTACTGTTATTTCTATCATATCATGCTTTGTTTCTGAAACTTTCTATATTTTTCAGCTGCAACAGAAGTGAGTGAAGGACCATTTTGTGTAGACAATGTCTTAACTGCTTTTGCCATCCTGAGCCAAAAATGACTCCACAACTATAGCTAGGTCAAGAGATCTTCTGGTCTCATCTTACTTCTGTCCCGTTATTAAGCCAAGAAACTAAAATTTCTTCCAAATTAAAAGATTGAAGGACAAGTTAGGAGAAGTTTATGAGGCAATTTTGTTAATAAAGAGGGTTTAGGTAAGCTTTATATTTGTGAATATGTAATTACACAAAGCCTTTTCTCCCCTCACCTGGAAACACCTATCACTCTAATTCTTTAAATGACATTTATCAAATGAGGGATCCCTAAAATGGTGTCTGATGTCATTCCTCAGTATGCAATGGCTCATTAGTTGGCTGGTGGATTAACCAGGGGGCTTTGTTTCTCCACCTGTTGCCTCGTTTCAAAAGATAATCATGAGAAAGAAACCCACGGTTTGGTCAAATATTTGTTAGAGGAGTTTGAAACTCTTGGCCAAATGAAGACTAGCATTTATTTCACTTGTGCTTCTTACCGGCAGGAATAACAGAATGGACTCTAATGGAAGAATGAGTGGTGGCTCAACCCACACACCTGAGTAACAAGGCCAAAGACCCGTGTCCTCACTGGCCCGGTTTGGTTTACTTTATTCTATTCCTGTCTTCAACAGCTATGATCTAATGTCACCAAGGGACAGAGAAAGTTCGGATAGAGTACAAATCCATCATCTCCTTTATACTAACAACAGGCTTTGTTGATATTGTAATAGTTACATCATCTTTATATCTAAAGATAGAATTTTGAATGTGTGTGGGAGAGAGAGTCTACCCGGCTATATCATCTTTCACTATGCCATCTTTCCTGGACTCTATTAAATAGTCCCATTGCATTTATGCTCCCTTTTGTTTTTGTTTTTAATCTGTTTTCATCTTTTTCTGATTTGGCCTGGAGCCAAAAACGGAAGTCTTATTAACAGAGTCGAGAAGTGTCAAGACCCACAAATGACCCTGAGAAGCAATTAAACTGAAAAATAAACCCATTAACCAGAACTGAAACAAAAGGTGAACTACTTATCCAAACTTAGGCAAAGGGACAGTTCTTTCTCCCCTGTCTCCCCCAAAGGCTGTGAGGAAAGGGGGTCTGAAGCTGGGCCGCCTCCTCCTCCAACTCACTTTCTGCGTCAAATAGTATGGGTCAAAGTCCTCCAGGGGAACTGCGACCAGGCCTTGTGGGATGTCCCCATAGATGAAAGGCAGACTCTTCCCTGCCTCCAGGTCACTGTTTGGCTTGGGCTTGCTGTCCTCATCGTCTTCCCGATGACTGCCTTCGGCCTTGGGTGGTTTCTTGAGCTTGCTCTCAGCAATGCGCCTCTCGATGTTTGCCAGCGACTCAGGGGTGAAAGGCTTGAAACTATCAGGGCCTGGTGGTGCGAGCAGCCGCGCTGCCATCTTCTCATCCTGCAGCAGCTTCGTTAGTTATGCTGCGTCCGGGACAGGTCAGATCTGGAAGAAAAGGCAACACAGACAGCAGTAATCAATTGCCGCTCGGGAAAAGAGGCCAGACCAAACCACCTCACTCTACCTTTGTTCATAACCTCAGCAACACGGAGTTGTTTCCGTGACATGGTTATTTTTCTCTTCAGAAAATCTGTGGCGGGAACGGGCTAGGTGAGGCCCATCACCAGCCCTCAGGGGAATGGGTAGCCAGGGAGATGGAAAGACGGGAGGCTCCTGAATTGCTAGCTTTTCTTACTTACTTACACACCACTCACTGTTTCCAACCACATACAACTACAAAGATGCATTCCATTTCCCTCAAGGAACTTCTATTCTAACTAATAAGGCATATTTAACATTACCTAGGGGCACATGTTGGCTTTGGAATCCTTATATGCCCAAGTCACCTTCCTTTCCTGGAACTCTATTCCCTAAAGAAATACTCTTCCTTCCGGGGCGCCTGGGTGGCTCAGT